GGAGAACGTGGAATTATTGGAATTATTGGAGCAAGGCCACAGGTGGCCCTGAAGTTGATAAAGGGACTGGAGCACCTCCCCTATGGAGACAGACTGAGAAATTTGGGGTTGTTCACATGGAGAAGGCTCCAGGGAGACCTCAGGGCCTGAATGGGCTCCAGGAGAGCTGGAGAGGGACTGGGGACAAGGGATGGAGGGACAGGACACAGGGAATGGCTTACAGTGCCAGAGGGCAGGGATGGATGGGATTTGGGGCAGGAATTGTTCCCTGGCAGGGTGGGCAGGAGCTGGAGCTGCCCCTGGATCCCTGGCAGTGCCCAAGGCCAGGCTGGCTGGGTTTGGAGCACCTGGGACAGGGGAAGGTGTCCCTGCCATGGCTGGGGTGGCACTGGAGGAGCTTTGAGGTCCCTCCAACCCAAACTTTTCTGGGATTCTGTGATTCTGAATATTCTATTGGAAAATCTTTCAGAGAAGAGGCAGAGCAGCACTTGGAGCATTCACCCCAAGCCCTGGGCTCCTTCCCCCTTACATTCCTCAGAATCAGAGCCCTTTCCCATTTCCTGCTCTCCCTGTTCTCCTCCAGCCCCCACCTGCAGCTGGAACAGGGAGAATTCCCGTTTATTCCCTGTGGGATGGGCTGGGAGCGGGCTCAGGCTGCAGCACCGTGCCCTGCAGCATCCCAGGAACCCTTCCCAAGTGAACAGTGCTGACACACACAGCGCCAGACACAGGAAAAAAGAAATCTGCTGGCAAGAACCCAACGGATCAGGCACTTGTTGGAGCCTTGAGCGCAGAGGAACGTTATAGAAAATTCCTAGTAACTCCTCCAGCTCCAAACCTATCATAATTTAATCTGTGTGACTGGAATTTCTCAATAGGCTGGAACTCCCTCAGGACCAAAATCTCATTGAAAAAGAAACCAAGGAGAATTTTGGCATCTCTCCCCCAGCCTGGAAGATGAAATGCAAATCTGTTATTGGCATCGAGCTCTCACAGCTTGATCCATCCAAAGAGCTCCAATAGCCTGACATTAACTTCTCAAGGAAGAACATTTTGTTACTCATCCTCAGACAGTTTATGCTTGAAGGCAGAAAGACTAATTCTGTTTGGGGTTTGGGCAGTGAACCTTCCCCAATTACCAGCACCGTCAGGCACTGATCTGGTATTAGAGACAAAACACGGGGAGATGGAGGCTGCTGACTTCATTTCAAATATAAATCCCAGAGGCTGAACGCTGCTGGCACACGGCAGAGCAGGTCCAGCCTCTCCTCTGCCCTGGCCGGGTGGGATGGATGTGCTCGGTGCCAGCAGTGAGGAAGAGGAGCTGAGCTGCAGCTCCCCGAGCTGGGGACGGGCACAGAGCGAAGGAAAGGATCTCACGGAGCAGGAGAACACACGGGTCACACCGGGAACAGGGGGGCTCCGGGGAGAGGAGAGGGGACAGAGGTCCCCCCGCAATGTGGGGACACACGGCCACTGCCGTGCGGCTCCAGTGAGCAGCTCTCGGCTCTCCTGCTCCAATTTCCCTCATTAGCCGCTAATTAGCGGAGATCCGCAGCTCGGGAGCTCCGGGTTCCCCCGGGGCTGGGCTCCGCTGCTCCCGCGGACACAGCGATGCTCCCGGCCCGGGGATGGGGACACCAGGGCAGGAGGAACCGAGCCTGGATCCCCTTCCCCAGCCGGCACAGCCCCGTGCCATGAGAACCTCAGGGAAAGGAAGTGAGGATGGATTTCCAGCCAGTTCCATCAGGGAAAGGAAGTGAGGATGGATTTCCAGTTCCATCAGGGCAGGGAAGTGAGGATGGATTTCCAGTTCCATCAGGGAAAGGAAGTGAGGATGGATTTCCAGTTCCATCAGGGAAAGGAAGTGAGGATGGATTTCCAGTTCCTCACCTCCTGGGCCAGGGCAGAGGGGATTACCAACAGCTCCAGGGGGAAACAATGGGACCCTGCAGGCAGCACACGTGGACAGCCTTCCTGAAGGACCGTGCCAGACCAAGGCTGCTCTCTGCTCCCTACCACTGATCGGGAAAATGGGATTTTAGAGCTCTTCCCATCTTCTTAAGCCACAAGCTGCCTCCATGCATCCTCTGACACTGACACGTGGAGAGGAGCCTCCCTTTGAGGCGGCCTCAAAGCAAGTGAGACCTGGTGGGAAGAGCAGACTCAGCTCTGCAGGGTCCCAGGGAAGGCTAAAGACATCCTTGGGACAGTTTGAGCCTAAATTTTCTCATTTTACCCATAAAACACAGGCTTAACATTTCCAAAAGCTGCAGAAGGACAAAAGCCGAGACTAAAGGCACAGCACAGCTCCCAACAGCCCGGGCAGGGCAGCACTCACCATCGAGCTCCTCCACGGAGATGTTGGCCAGCTGCTCGCTGTCGCTGCCGGCCGAGAGCGAGCGGTTCAGGTAGTTGCCCTTGTACAACAAGCCAGCTGTCACATGGTGGAATGGCATCTTCTCCCTGCCAGGGAAACGGGAAAAGAGAGGGGGATTGGTGTTATCTGCCCCTGTTCCGTGGGGATGGAGCCTGGAGGAGGGGCTGGAGCAGAGCCCCGGTCCGGTGTCAGAGGGGTGAGCCAGGCAGGAGCTGAGTGAACAAACAGCAAAGCAGCTGCTGCCCCTGGGTGCTGAGAGGACTGAGGGAAGCATTGGAGCCTTATGGAAACAGGATTTCCCAACAGCCAGACTGCAGATTTCAGCCTTGGCAATAATTACAGAGAGCAGTGGGGTCTGCACTGCCCTGCAGGTAGAAGGTTATAGTGGAGTGCTTGGGTTGGAGAGGACCCCAAAGCCCTGAACCATCTGAACCAGCCCTGCCAGGGCAGGGACACCTTCCCCTGTCCCAGCAGCTCCCAGCCCTGTCCAGCCCGGCCTTGGGCACTGCCAGGGATCCAGGGACAGCCCCAGGCGCTGCCCAGACCACAACTCCCAAAGGCATGGAAGGGTCTGGACACCCCTGAGACCCCTCAGAGGGCTCAGCCAAGCTCCCTGAGCGAGGTGTTTGTCACTGCAGGGCCCCAGCTCCAGCTCCCAGCGACAGGAGAACGTCCACACTTGAGCAGGGCCCCACAAAGAACGTTCCCATCTCCCAGATGTGGGAGCTGAGGGAAAACCCCACTGCAGGGGAGGCTGGAGCAGGGAGGTGTTTGCAAACCCCCCAGGTCCCCAGGGAAGGGCAGGCACTGCCCAGCCAGGAGTGGGGATTGCTGTCAGCAGCTCTCACCCTGTGATTTAGGGGACATGAGGAAGGGGAGAGTTTGCCGAAGTCAATTGAAATATTAAGAGGAAGATTTGTCATGGCCAGGGCTGGATTCAATCAGCACAAACCCATCCCGGGCCTATTGTACTGCTCATTTCCAGCAGAAATAAATCAGCAGAGTCCCCAGAGCCACCCAAGGGGCTCCCTGGGGCTGGAGGTGGCCAGGCCAGGCTGGCAGTGTCTCTGGGAGCCAGGGCAGGCTGGCCCACCCCAGGGACACCCAGGTTCTGTGCCCCAGGAGGAAGGTGCCACCTCTGGAATGCCCCAGCCAGCACCACCATCACCAGCAGCATCTGCCCAGCCTCAGCCAACAACCCAAATGGATGGACAACACACACAAATCCATTTGGGAACAAAACCTTGCTGCCTCCCCGGGCTGGGAACAGCCCTGACAGACCCCCAGGAGCAGAGCAACCTGGAGCCAGGGGCGAGCACAGAGGGAGGGCCAGGAGGCTCCTCTTGCACTGCTCAGCACGTTCCAGGAATTTCCCTGGCAGTAATTATGTAAATAAATCCTAATCGTAACTTTAAGTATTTTTATTTGGGAGCCAGTTCGCTCCAGCAGCACATTAGAAACGTAAACAAGGGGTTCTGTTTCATTAAGCACATCTGTAATTTCCCAACCCCTGCCAGTTCATGGGTTTCACTCTGAGACGTTGCTCCCTCTGACACCTGCTGGGCACTGAAGCAGGAGCTGATCCTGGCCAAGGGACACTCCAACACAATTCCAGCTCTGGGATCCCTGGAGAGACACTGCAGCCCTTGGCAGCACCTTCATTCCTTTCCAGCCCACCACAAACCATCCAGGCAGCAGCAATTCCTGTTTTCTCTGGATCATCGCCCCCCAGGGTAATCCCAGGGTTGGAAGGGACCCACAAGGGTCATCGAGTCCAGCTCTTGGCCAAGGTTCCCCAGGATCCTTCTCCAAGATGGAACTGGGATCAGTTTCCGTGTGCAGCCCAAAGGATGCCCGGGAATCCATCCTGGGGAGTCCATCCTGGTTTTCCAGCCTCAGGCACGGAACACACGACATCCATGGATGGATCCTGTGTCTGCCCTCCCCACGGAGCTGGAATTGTGTGGCTCCCAGGGGTGGGAGCACCCTGGCAGGATCCCAAGCTGGATATTGATCTCTGTGGTGTCAAACAGAGCAGGCAGGACGGGGGAGAGGAGAAAATGGAGATTTCCAGCTCTGCCACAGGCTGGGATGAGCCAGTCTGAGCTGCAGGAATGGAGAGCAAACCTCCATGGATGCCACACAGGAGTGGAGCCCCAGCACAAGCTTTGTTCTCCCAGCCCTTTCCCAGGGCTGAAAGGAATACAGGAACATATTGAAAATCCAGGAAGCAGCCAGATGGTTGGGAAACTGGAACTGGGGCTGGGGAGTCCCTGAGGTCACTTTCAAAGCCTTTAAAAATTCATCAGATGAAGTGACGGCGTTAAAGATGCTCCTCCCTGGGCACAGCAATATTTGAACATCTAAAGCAGAGCAGAGCAGGAGGAGATGACCCCACTTTCCCCAGGGCTGAGGCACTGCCGTTGTCCTCGGAGGGAGGCTGTGTGATCTCCAGCTGCATCCAAAGGGACAGCAGAGCAAACAGAGCCCTGGGAAACTCCTGGACTGTCTGAGGTGCCATGAGGCACCAGCCAGGGGACACCACCAGCCTCCCCAAGAGGCTCCGCTGCCATTCCTGGTCCCTTTCCGCACCTCTGTCCATGCTGAGGGCCATGGTTAGGCCTGGCTTAACCTCTGGCATGGGAAAGGCTGAGCTGGACTAAATCCCCAGAGCTGCTTTGAAGCCAGCACAGTTCAGGGAAGACAAAATCCTTGTGCTGGGAAGAGTCACTTTGTCCCTTGTCACCTGCACTCCCCTGCTGCTAACAATAGCCTTAAAGATTTTTTGGTTTTTAATTTACTTTGTGCACAAACTTGGCACGTGGAGCGCAGTCTGAGCCCGAGCTGCCGCCTGCAGGGCTCCAAGGGCTGCTCTGGGCTCGGGGGGAGCACGGAGGATGCAGAGCTCGCCAAGGTGGGAAGGTTGAAGCTGCAGATATGAAGTGCCCGGGTCTGGTTTAATCAAGCTCAGCTTAAGGGTGTGAAGAGAGCCAGGGCTGAGCGGGCTCGGGCTCGTTCTGCAGTACAAACCAAGAGAAGAGGCCTTGGGATGGCTTAAAATGATTCCTTTAAAAGAAAGTCCCAAAGCAGAGCAGGGAGGGCAGTCCTGCAGGAAATCTGTGTTTCCTCACTGCTGATCCCAACCTTTATGGATCTCACAGCCCCAAACCCCCGGGAAGGCACATTTGGGGTATTTATAAACAGGAGAGAGAGCAGAGGCTCCTGCTGAACTGCACTGGACACTCTGGGCAGGTTGGGAGAGCCAGATCTGCAGGCTGAGAGTGCAGTGAGCCCTAAAATTCCCTCTGAGCTTCACACAGGAGGGCTCCCACTTCCCTGGCTGGTTCTCAGAAGTTAGACCCGGCTTTTCCACACACATCTTCAGCAAATTACTCCATCCAGACAGATCCCAGAAACCTTTCACAAGGATTTATGGGCTGCAAACACGAGATCTGAACCCACTCACGTCAGCTTCACTGAACATCTGCTGGTAAAATCCAGGTAAAATCCAAATTGACCTCAAGAGACCATTCCCAGTCCTGACCCATCACGTCCCCACGTGCCCTCTGCACACCTGCCTGGTGACCATTTATTGGCACCAGCCTAAGGAAAGTTCCTCTAAACCGGGCAGGAAATGCAGATCTGGCACCCACTGGGGAGGGGCAGCAGCAATAAAGCTCCTCACGGTGATCACTGGGCAGAAAGCCTCCACAAACAGATCATTCTCAGCAGTCAAAGATGTAACTGGGAAGGAAAAAAACTCCTCTGCAAGGCAGAAAACAAGATCTGAGTGACAAGCTCATGTAATGTGCGGCACCTCAGGAGCCACAAACCTCCACGCTGGAGAGCTACAAAGCACTCAGAGCTTCAGAAGGTTTGTGCTGGGGCTGTTTCCCACCTTCCACAGTAAATTCAAAATGAAAAAGTAGAAGGGCACTTGAAAAGACATCTCTAAACAACTGCTGCTGCTTTGAATTGCACAGAAAGGGAGCGCTGGGGGTGCCAGGTCAGGTATAAAATCCAACATTTCTGTCTGGGAGCTGCACGTGTGAGCACACAGGGGAACAGGGAAATTGCTGTTTGTTATTTTTGGAGCTGGGCTGGGGCTGATCCTCAGCTCAAAGAGCCGGGAGGAGAGGGCTGCGAGGAGCCGATAACTCCGTGTCTGTCCCCAGGGCAAGAGCAGCGCTCACAAGGGGATAAAGACCCTTTCCACCCCAAACAGGCTTAAAGTGCCCGATTAATGAACCGGCACCGCTGACTCACCACCATTCCCTCTCACCCTCCCAGCTCCCAAACTCATCCTCACCTTCTGCAGACAGAAATCCCCAGATTTCTGCTGCCCCTGGTTGTGTTTAACCAAGATTAGTAAAAAATTTCCATCCTCCAGGTTTGGGAAGCCTGAGTTGATGTTAGAAAGTGAAAAAAGAAAGGCAGCAACGCAACAGAAATCTTTAACCTCTTCTCTCCTCTAATAATTCTCCTGAAAACATGAAAAAAACCAGTTTGGGAATGAAAGTTTGAGGGTTTTATGGCGAAGGAGATCAAACAAACCTGCCAGGAGGGACAGGTCCAGCCTGGCCCCAGGGATGTGCTGCTGGAGCTCGAGGGTGGAAACTCAGGGCTGCTGATGGATTGTTCCCCACCCTGGAGCCTTTGAGCTCCTCCTGGGCCAGGAGCTTCCAGCGCTTCCAGCCCACCTGCTGCCCATTTTCCCTGCCCAGCCCATCCTGTCTGTGCTGCAAGGGGAGCCAGGACCACCCTGTGCCCAGCAGGGACGGGGGGCTCCTCCTGGCCCCTGCCCAGAAATCAGCTCCTCCAGGACGGACAAAGCAGGGAGCAGGATCAGCTGAGCAGCCAGAGCAGCTCAGGGGTGCCAGAGAGGCTTTGGAGCATCACCCAGCCCTGCCCAGCCCCTCGCACCAGCTCCACCCTGCAGCCCTGGCTGCTCACACACAAAACCATCCCAATTCTCTCTCTCTGGAATGCTCAGCTCGGTTTTTTCCCTGGGTACAACACGAGATCGCTCAGAACTAAATGATGGGAACGAGGTCCTCGTTGACAGCAAGAAAAACAAAATATCCCA